CCGCCTCAGGTGTGAGTGGAAGCAGGTGCGGCCACAGAGCCCTGCGTGCGCCCAGAGCCGTCCCGTCTCCCGCTGTCGGCCCCGCGCCCGCGCTCTCCCCACGGCCTCTGACTCAGCCGCCACCCCGCATGGACTTCATAATTAGTTGATGACAAGAAATCCAATAAGTGAGAAATTAAAGTTACAAATCCAACTGGAACTGGTCACATATCCGTGGAAAATTTGTTTCCACAGGAAGGTTTATTGAGTGTCATAATTTTATTGAAATCCTCTATCTTCCCACTGACTTTTATGGCTCTGAGCTGGTTACCGAGCCGCACGCCAGGGCCGGGGAGGGGTTTCCTTCATAAACACGCCGTAATCGCGCTGTTATTGACCATAAATCCCACCCGCGCCTGCTCTCCGGTTCCAGCGCAGCCTCGCCGTGGCCAGCAGAGAGGAAACTGTAAAATGGGAAGTTGTTGTACCTTTTAGAGAAATTGTTTGGTCACTGAACTGTGCTGGTTTGATTGGATAACGACTTTTTAATGACTGATTCCACTTGTGGGGCGTTCGCTTCGTTTCCACTCGAGAAGTGTGGCGACTGACGGCTGCGCAGCTGGCGCCGGGCTGCCGGGGAAGTGAGGACCCTCGCCCCGGAAGCCCAAACAGGATGTGGTTCCCGGGGCCGAGCAGGACTGCTTGGAAGCAGTCACGTTTGCCCGCCACGTAATTAATGCAACTCAGAGCATGGAAGAGCATCACACACAGGACGTGAACTAGGACTTGGGGGGAGGGTGGCAGAGGAGGGTGCCCGGACCACTCGCCCCCCTTCCACCAGGGGGTCTGCACAAGCTGTGGGCCGGCGCCCAGTGCACCCGGCGCTCCTGGTCTCCAAAAAGGGGTCTTGAGCCAGTGCCCGACTCGGGGACGGGGGTGGGCCACTTCCTGGATCGGCGGCCGAGTCCAGCCTTGAGCACCCCTGGCCTGGCTGACAAAGCCTCGGGACGGGCAGCCCCAGGCCTCGCCCGGGCAGTCTGCCTGCAGCTCTGAGCTGACAAATGCGACAGGTCAGTACCAGGACCCGGTGAGGCCTGCAAGCTCGGAGCACGCCCAGGAGGAGCCCAGACCCGAGGGCGGCAGAAGGGAAGGTCTTGGCGAATCGGTGCTTCCTGCGGGCACTGGGGGAAGGAAGAGCCTGGCAGCTGGCAGGTGTGGAGGAGCACCCAGCAGAGTGGGTGGGCATCACAAGCAGGTCCAGGCCAGTTTTCTGGGGAAGAAACTGGGCTCACAGGTGCCAAGCCCAGGATGACAGGCACTGGCCGGCCAATGACCAGCTACCATCCCCAGGTGAATGTAACCGGCCGAGCCCTGCAGCCCAGGCCCAGCCTGGGCAGCCCGAGCAGGGACGCAGGGGCAGGCGGTGACTGTCCCCAAACACGCGAGGCCAGCGACACACGATGGGGCAGGCCATGCCGCCAGCTGCTGGGGCCAGGGACGGGTGGGCCGGGAGTCCTGGCAGGAGAAGGTGGTGACAAACCCGGCTCCCATGATGACGCGGGAGGCCCCGTCCTGGACAACAGCAGAGGCCACCCACCTCCCATCTGCCCCTCAAGATACTGAGCCGGCCCTCACCTCAACTCTACTGGCCCCGCTTCGGGGAACTTCTCCCCCAGCCCCGCGCACTTTGGGCATCGTCCGTCTTTCCTCTACAACCTCAGTCTGGGAGGGAGGCCTCTGACCGGCCCCCCCATGCCCCTGCCTGGCGCTGCCCAGTGCATGAGACGCAGGGAGGGAGGGTTTCTCCTGTGTCGGGGCAGAGGCTGGCTCGGGAGAGGGAGGAGTTTCTGCTCTCGGTCTCACGTCAGCCCTCCTGCAGGCAGAGAGATGGCTCATGTGACTTGAACCTGGGTCTGAGCATGGAGACCCAGTGCTGGGCTCGCAGTGGGCGGGGGAGTGCAGGCCTCCCCTCTGAGCGCCGGAGAGGGTGCCAGGGGCTTCGGGAAGCCTCGGTGAGTGGGAGGGCGGGGCTGGCACCGGCCCCTCACAGGAGAGCCATGGCTGACGTGACCTTCAGCAGCCGGTCCTCCGGGAGGGGACTGTGCTGAGCGCTGACGTGCTGCCCCAAAACACGGCGGGGAGTCCCACCCCCGGGCAGACACACACACCTGGGCCCCGCTGCACCCGCGGCAGG